CATATAACGCAGATAAAATGCTTGAAATGGTGTAATTACTTAGTTTGTAGAGCAGAGTGCGCGCCATTGTTTGCTACTGGCGACCTGGATGAAACGCTTTAAAGCTTAAGTCTATGGAAAACCATTGAAACTTTGAACGGCCATATCTCCGCACCAAATTTGGGGGATCCCTTCAGCTCGAGGAACCCTCTCAAACGCGAATCGAGTGTATGTCTAGAGGCCCGCTTTCGAATGAGACCACCCCCGCGTCGATAGCCCCCGGGGTTCGGGAGTTACGGGTGGTTAAATTCGCGATCCAGGGCGCAGACCGATCAAGCGATCCTGGGGGGCTACCGACGCACGGAGGGTGGCGTTCGAGAGGGCTCCTCGAGCTGAAGGGTTCCCCTGAATTTGGTGGAGATCCGCCGGCGCGTTCACGAGATAGTGATACCAGTCAACACTTTCACTTCAGTAAGGAGGTCTCTTGTATTCAAGCGTTGTCTTATTCGACCGGAAGTGCCCTGCGAAGTGGACTTCACATGAATTTCCGCCATGATTCCAGTTCCAAGGGAATGTACACGTTACGTTCAAAGGGCATTAAAGTGCGCGAGATGTGAATTTATATTGTATTTATTTACAGAGGTATATTATGTCACACTTCACACTTCTCTAGTAAGTTTCGTCTGTGTGTGAAGACAGTAGCGCAAATCCGTGAATGAATGTTCCGAAGTGAAATAAACTTCAAAGGAATAAAGTTGAATGGAATTTAATTGAATTAAAGTTGAATAAACTTAAACTTTACTGTTCAGTGCACTGATGTCAGACTCATTTTGGTTTACTGTTAAATTGTTAAATGTCCTGCCTCCATTATGTATCTTTGTCACGTGATCATTGCAAAAAATGTGTTTATGCATATATATTCTGTTTATGTATATACTGTATTCTATATATAGTACCAGTCAAATGTTTGAACCCTGGAATGGGAAAGTCTCCAAACTTTTGACTGGTACTGTACTATAATATACACAAAGATTATCGGCCGATATATTGATATCGGCCTTTTTTACTCCCTAATATCGGTATCGGCCCCCAAAAACCCATATCGGTCGGGCTCTAATGATAAGGAAGTTCAAAAGAGCATAATATATTGTATTCATTGTGTATCAATATTCATTGTTTATCAATGTTAAAAACTCAATCAATTTAATGCATCCTTGCTGAAGAAGGTATTAATTTCTTGCAAAATTGACTACAATTTCCATCTCAAATTGATCACAACATATATCCAAGACCCCAAATGAACTATTCTGTTATGCTTCTTCACAGAGACATGCTAATCTGGCTATGACTTCTGTGATGATAAACTCTCTTCACGCTATAAAACATTATAATGGCTCTTATTTTGTCACGTGTTAAGGTAAAGAACAGGATGCATGTTCTAGTTCAGCTGACTGTAAGAAACCAGCAGTGGCTACTCCATGTCAGTGTGTGTGCCATAATCGAAATGCACACCCCACTTCCAGCAGCACAGCATCTAAACCACCTCTGGTTGATCTTCCTTGTGAAGGTACTTCTGCTCAAGCTCCAACCCCTCTCTCAAAAGAAGGTAAGCATTTTCCGAAACCTTTTGACCAAAAAAAAAAAAACATGAAACACCATGATAAATTACTTAAATGGTGTCTGTTTTCATAGAGTATGGTTTCTTGTTTCAGCAGTCAATAGTGACCAGTCTAAGAAGTCCACTTTGTCTTCCCGTCTCTCTGAGAAACTTCAGGCCTCTCTCTCCAATGGAGAACAAGATGATGATTTTAAGATTGACAGGAAGCGCATTCGTACACCAAGCACAGAGCAGAAGGTACCTCTGCAAATAGCTTCTATTCCTGTGACATTATTGATTGGCTTGTTGAGTCTTGTCATCACACTCAGTTTTTTTTTCACAGAGCAGCAAGCGAAGATGTCTCGAGCGAGGAGTGATTTACATTGATGATGATGAAGAGGCGGCGCATCTGGAGAGACTGGTGCCCGGGGCTCAGAGTTGGACCATGGAATTGAACAGTGGTGCCAGAGCTGACAGCTGCCAATCGCAGCCACAGTGTTGTGTGAGTGCACCTCAGACACATTTTCTGCTCTTATCTCTAATTGGGAGACTATGATGTAATAATGTGTCAGTAATAGCCATGGAGAGCACTGTTTGATATTTCTCCTCATTTCATCATCCAATACCATTAAAGGGATAGTTTGCCCAAAAATGAAAATTCTGTCATGATTTACTCACCCTGATATAATTCTAAAGCTTTGCCGCTGCATGTCGCCAGGGCTGGCGATGAGGTTGCTAGTGGGCGTTCTCACTACTGGTTGCCTTGACAGCGAATCAAGTTTCTTGCCGCTAAATACAAACATTTTGGAGGCAAAAGACTAAATATAATATAAACAAAAATGAATGAGAAACAGAGCCTACTTTTTTCCATTGCGTATGGTTATCTGCAGCTGAGAGGAGAACGATCTCATGAGCTCTACTATCCTCTTTCCTATTGGCTGTCACTCCCGAAAGTCACTCTTCATATGCATAAAGTTGAAGGATTCTTAACTTTGTCACGTCGCTGGACACGCCCCATCCGTCGCCAATGGCCGCTGACGCACTTGTTGCCGTAAATCGCCAGCTCTCTATTGAAATGAATGGGATCGTGTTGCTTTGTCGCTTGTAGTGTGAACGGGGCTTAAACCTGTATGACCACAAAAGAAGATATTCTGAGCACAAAAGAGGATATTTAAAAAAAATAATGGTATCCAAACAGTTTTGGTGACCATTGACTTCCATTGTATGGAAATATACTAATATATAAGCATTTTTTCCAAAATATCTTCTTTTTTTGTTCCATGGAAGAAAGAAAATCATGCAGGAACAACATGAGGGTGAGTAAATGATGGCAGAATTGTAATTTTTAGGTGCACTATCCCTTTATCCCTACTTCAGCTGTTTTACCAAGGATGCCACTGGAAATAGTATGTGTTATTAAATAAATAAGATTATAATAAACAATATTATAATTAATTATTTAGTTGCAACTTATAATTATTAAATAAATTATGTAGTCTTATATATTGCATGTGTTTTGTTGTTTTATTGTTGACCATTTGGTGGCAGCAGAGGATGGATCAAAACAGATTTCAAAGGTTCATGGGGATATTTTTGGATTTATTTTGGGGGGTTTTCACACTTCTTTTGGACGCTTAATTATGTGTCTGTAAGCATGAATTATCTCTGTTAAATTACTGTAATTTGACTAGTACTGTGCCACAAAAAACCATATAACTCATGATTAAATGTATACACACATAGTTGCTTTCATCCTACATACTGTAGGATGGCACCAAAGCAATGTCTGCTTCAATGCAAAACAGGGTTATAATAGACATTGAGGATGCTGGATTTGTTTAGTTTTAGCTTATAGACATTGTGGGAAGGCCTTTTGGATGTCACTTCTGTTTGAAATCTGCTTGATCTTTTATATACATAATTTGATAACCTTAAACAAACAATTGGCACCTCATCATTTCCATCAAGCAGAAATCCTGCAAGAAAAAACAAGAAAATCTGGATTTATGAAGTGTTATTATGAAGATGGTGCATTTGTTTTGTTTGAACGATGCTGATATGTAGGGCTATAAAATGTATAAGGCCTCTTAGAAAATCCGATGCAATGTAACAAACACCACAGGTATTCATATAGCCAGTGGTGAAAAGAATCTGTGTCAGCGTGATTGTCCTGTCACACCATAGGACATATTGCTTACAACTGGCACAATGGAAAAGGAGTGACTTGTGCTATGCGTTCCTCAAGATTGGTGGTGGGCCCTTTGAAGCGAGCTCCAGTTTAATTAAGAGGTTTGCCTTGCTTGGCAGTGATCTGTGAAAGCCTGGGATAAATATTGAATGGGGTTCACCTGCTGGTTACGGCGCTCCGGGGATAAACAGGTGCTTTGTGAGATTGGGGATTTGCGGGGTGGGGGGCTCCGGGGTAGCTATCAGGAGGGCTATAGGGAGTAAAGACCTCACTGAAATGCTTCACTCGCTGTCTCTCGCCCGCTATCTCTTTCTCTCTCTGTCCATCTGTATGGTGAGGGTGCAGTGGCCCAGGCAGGCGGACAGTGTGAGATTTCAGTCTCTCAGGTGTCAGGCTCTCAGAGCCAGCCTGTTGAAATGCAGTCTCCATTGTTCGCGCTCACACTCAGGCCTGCATCTTCCACCACAGGGCCATTGAGGAGCACAGACAATCTAGCCTCACCATCTCAAACACAGGAGCTGCTCTCTCCACACCTCACCTGGCAAACAGAAATGCCACTGTCTAACAGAACAAACCCAGCTCTTATAATGTTTTTCACCAGTAACTGATAAGTACTTGGTAGAATCCTCCGCCTCTTCACGCAGGAATTTATCAATTGCTGTTCTGATGCTGATTCGTCTTTAATTCTACTTTCTTAATGGTTCCACTAAAGATTCTTTTGAATTTGAGTTTAAGTCATTGACTCTTCCATCTAATTTGTATGTGTTTGCGATTAGATAAAACAACTTTAGCACAAGAATTGAACTTTATTAGTTGCTGTGAATGTTTTGGAAATTCATTAAAAAGAAACGGTTCATTAAAGTTGTTTACTTGGGAATCTTTTAAATTCATTGGTAGCGTTGTGATTTGTGTTTATGAGCCAGTTGTTTTTAGTGAATCAGAATCATCAGCTTAAGAATCATACTTCACTGGTTGTGTTTTTGATTCTTAAAAAAAAGAAACGGTTCATTAAAGTTGTTCACTGGGGAATCTTTTGACTTCATTTATCGCAGTCTGTGTTTAAATCACTAATAACACCTATCTCAAGTTTATTTGCTTGAGAATCTAACTTCACAAGTAGAGCTGTATGATTTTGATTAATTAAAAAGGACAGTTTTATAAAAGTCATTCACCTGGAAATGTTTTAACTTCATTGTTCTTGCTGTATGTTTTTTACAAGCTAGTTGTTTTTAGTAAATCAGACTCATTATTTCAGGAATCAGACATTACTGATTATGCTGTATGTTTTTGATGATAAAAAAAAAAAACAATCACTAAAGTTTGTTCACTTGGGAAGCTTTTGAATTTATTGATCACACTCTGTGTTTGATTCATTAAAAGCAACTGGCTCAAAAGAGTAATTTGCTTGAGAATCTGACTTTACTAGTTATGCTGTATGTTTTTAATTCATGTAAAAGGGTCAGTTCATAAAAGTCTTTTGGGAATCTGGCTTTATTGGTCGTGCTCAGTGTGTTTAATTTACTAAAAACAACTGGCTCTTAAGAGTCATTAACATGGGAAATGGACTACACTTGTAGCGCCGTATGTTGGTTGCACTGTATTATTATTATTTTTTTTTTTTCTCCCAAAAGAAATCAACTTATTGGAGTAATAAGCTAGACACCAGTCGTGCTGTATGTTTTATGCTGCTTAGAAAATACTTTCCGACTCCCTTTAATTTTGCACATGCTGGAACGGTTAATGTACTGAATGTCATGAAGATCATTCAGTTCTGGTTTGGAAAAAACAATTATTAGTTCCTTACTCTACTCTTCACATATCCATTGTCCCTAAAATACACCATGTAGTGAGCAGCTTATTTTATGTATTTGTAGTATGTGTGCTGGCCCTGAACTGTAACTAGTTGTTAGGGCTCAGAAGAGCTGTGAAACGCTGTCATTGTATACCAGTGCTTCTACAAACCCCCAAAGACACTTTCCCAATATCCTTGCTCATTTTTTAGTGCGTGAACAATGGCCACATTTTCTTAGCAGAGCAATGAGCTGCTGGATGCATCTGCAGGTGTCTGCCCCTGACTGGAACAGCATGCTTGGGTTAACGCTCCCACACAATGCCACACACTGTTTTATTAGGAGCCGCTGTTGAGGTCTGGAGAGGCCTGAGGTGTAGCACTCTGCTCCACTGATATCAGGGCCTCGCCATGAAAGAATGCGCCACTCCGCCTGAATGTGTCTGTGGCGGCAGGTTCGGCCAATGGAAGCTGTTATCTGCATTCCAGGGGTGTCTTATTTGCTGTGCGGTAGCAAGAGGGGCCGAAACTGTGGCAGGCTGCATGTAACGGATACCCTTGTGTCAGCTGTTTCCTGCACGGCTGCTGACAAGGCCTCCCATTCACAATCAGCCCTTTCTCTCCCCTCTGCGATGAATAAGTAATTATTCGGTATAGGAGGCAGGATACTTGGACTGGCCTATTGAATGTGGCAGCAGCAGGTAAGGTGATCGGCAGGGCCGTAACTCTTCCTGCGAAGCCGTAACCTTAGCTGCTGCCAGCTCTCTGTTTATTTAGCACGTCGGCCCAGGTCTTTGTCCCATCGGGGGACGGTTTGCAAGACAGGCTCACGTTCGCTTCCATTCTATCACTTACTGTAATATTTAATGACAAACAAGGTTTGAGAAGCAGCTCTGGTAACCGGAGCTGGACCTCTTCAGTGGAGTGCAGGCTAAAGGACAGCTTGATCCCTGATGTGAAGGTGTAACGCACGCCGTGACTTAGCATTTGCTTATGAGGGATAATCTTACTGTCACTCTTAGGAAAAGAAAAGAAGCTACTGATATTTTGAAGGACTGAAGCAAGACAGATATAGGAGATTTATTTATTATTTATTGGTATCAATCAATATTGGATATTTAATTGTACATGTTAATTTAGATTACCTTTGCCACCATCTGACGCTCACTTAAAGTTCAAAACGAATTTTAATGTAAATACTAATAATAATTTAATAACTTTAAATGTAAATAAATAACTTTAAATTTAAATGTAATCTTTAGCCAATTTAAAAATGAACAATAATTTTTCATATGCATAATGTTGTGATGCTTAAATTCACTTGTAATATTTAAAATTATTGATGTGTGTGTGTGTGTGCGCACGTTTTTGTGATTTATGAGGACACAAATTTATATAATGACGGGTATAGTGCTGGCCGGTATACTGGTTCATACCGAATTCCGGTATTTATTTTTGTTATGATATGAATTTTTAAAATACCGGTGTATGTCGCTTAAACAATGTTCGGAACGCGACACTGTTT